TTATGGTGGTTACCTTAGGGTATGCAGCTGTGAAAGTGGATATTGAAACAACTGGTGACATTTTTATGTTCTACTTGTGAACTGATAGCATTTTTAATAATGTTCAGGTATTATTAATATTGTGATTTAAAATATCTGTGAGGATTAGACAAGGGACTGTTAGAATAAATCAGATACAAGCTTGTGAACAGGAAGGAGGTTAACCAAGATCAATGCGGGAGTGATGCACCCATAAGAGATTGCAAGGGCCCCTTAGAGGGAGAAGCAAGGGTGTTTGGTGAGAAAGCAGAGAGAACATACTGGTCAGGAAGATTTCCATGGTCTCCAGCCTGTTCTGACCTCAGAGGGAACTCCCAGCACTGAAGCAGAATGTTCTCAGAGAACTGAGGAATGTGCCATTCTAGCAACATTTTCAGCTAAAAGGCTATTGTGGATGGGCTTGCATTTGAGCCTTCTAGTAAAGAGAAAATTGAAGTTTAAAATGTATATTATAGAAATTAGTAAAAGTGAAGGGTCCCAATGCCAATTCAACTGACCGTCCACTCTGGCCAGCACTACACCTATGCCCTATCCCTCACATAACCAATTGTTAATGTTTTGGGGAAAATTCATTCATGTTCTTTCTTTTTCATTCTCAATCGCTCTCTCTCTCTCCACACACTCATGTAAATCCACATACATACATCTGTATATTTATTTTATAAAAGTGGAATTATGCTAAAGATTAGAGTCTGCCACTTGCTTTTTTCCCAACATAATATACCAGTGATATCTTTTTAGGACAACACACATAACTATTTATCATTAAATGGCTGCCACATATTTCACTTTTAAAACTAGGACTCTATTATGACTACCTGGTTAGTTTTTATTCACCACAGAACTTTAGATCTTAAAAAAATCAACTGTACTATAAAGCTTTTAAAGCAGTTTTTGATCTCCTATGACCATACTATATGATGCATTTATTTTAATTATGCTTTGGAAATTATATTTAAGGAGGCAATAAATTTTTGTTAACAGAATTCAATTCTGAAAGCATCAAGAAGCACAGTGAGCTGAGAATGAGAGCTGGGAAACTGCATTTTGTAATACTGAAAGAGTCCGACGTTTTGCTTTTATCCAGGAGTCTGCCATCTGCGAGAAGTTACAAATCAAAGTGAGCTCTCTTGCTCAAAGGCACTACCCCTTATCATTGATCCCAGACTTGTAGCAGCTCTGGAGAGGAGGACATGGTATACTGCCAGGAATAACATGGCTAACAAGGACATCACACTTCACTGAGACATTTACTCTGTGCCTTGGTCCAGCCCAACTAAACCAAACTGTTAGGATGGGAAGGACATAGCAAAAACAGATGCTGGATGATAAATAAAACCATACTGTTCCAGGCTAAAACACTGCCCTGCTATGTTCAGGATGGATGACTCCAGCACTATGGGAGGCCCACTCTTGGGACAGGGAAAGCTGGATACAAGTTGGAGGCAAGATCTCCAAGCTCCCCAAGGAAAATCAAGTAAAAGAAACCCCATCTGATATCTTACTTATGGTGTTGGAGTTTTTGACATCCACCGTCAGAGAAAGAAATGGAATTATTGGCATGACTCTCACAAAGAGAACATGCTGACCACTTCATTTGTTCAATCGTGTTTGCCTAATACCTAAATAAGTATTTATGAAATGACCGGTTAATTGCCAACCTCCCCATAACAATGCAAGTTCTTTGAGGGCAGGGATTTTGCCCTTGTTTGTAGCCTTGAACTTCCTCCCATTGGAATAGAAAGACATTTAAGAAGAAAGTATAGAATTGATTTTAACTATAATTACACTGAGTTCTACAAAGGAGAAAAATGGGTTTGGTGGAGTCAGCGAAGACTTCTGCAAAGAAGAGAGAATTTAACTAATATCTGAAAGACATGCAGGAAAGGAGGGGCAAAGGGAAAAACCAAGGCCTCAGGTGGCTGAGCACAGAACCCTGGAGAACTAGAAAGAAGGCCAAGGCGATGGGCCTAGAGGTGAGGTTAGGAAGGGTGTAAAGGGAAGCTGGGGACATGGACAGGAAACAGAGGATGAAAAGCCCTGTACTAGTTTGGTCTTGATCTTCAGTACAATGAATAGCCACTGAAGGGTTTTAAGCAAAGGAGCAACAATATCAGAGTGGCATTTTAAAAAGATGGCTATTTCATGGGGAGAAATGCGAGATATAGGTGAAGGGGAGGAAGGCAGCAAATCACACTGTCATGTGTGTACCTATGCAACAATCTTGCATGTTCTTCACATGTACCCCAAAACCTAAAATGCAATTAAAAAAAAAAGAAAAAAAAAGATGGCTATTTGATCTTGTGAGTGACAAGTGAATGGGAAGGGAATAAAACATATTTGGAGGGAATAATTAGGAAAGTGTTCAGTGATTTATTCAAGAAATGTTATTACTTTGGACAAATTATAGAGTTAGAGAGAAATAGACTAGGGTCTCTTTAGGAAAGAAAATGAACAGGACGTGTTGTTATTTAAATGTAGGGGATGCAGAAAGATTGCTATTAGAATAATTTACCTGGTTTCTAGATGATGCAGCTATTGGAGCAGCTATTCACTGAGGAGGTGCAAGTTTGGTGAGAAAGATCATGAGTTGTATGGATAGTTACAAGAAACTGACATTAACAACAACATCCACTAAAATGGAGTACTGTGACAAGCTGGGCCAAAATGATGCCTTAAATGGATTATCTAATTTATATATACCTAACTGCAGTCATATAAAATAGGTGCTAGCTCCTCAATTATTAGAGACAAGACCACCAAGACTCAATCTCAATCACTTATTGCCATTCTCAGAACTAAAAATGTTCAAAGCTGAGATTTGAACCCAAATCTCTTTAATTCTAAAGCAGATGTTTCTTAATGACCAATTCATCCTGTTTCATGACAACTCATACTACTCAGGAAAAGTTTCCTCATTTAAAAAGTACATAAGAATAAATCTGAAGCCGAATCTTTCTAGGAAACCTCTAGACCTTCTCTCAGGGCTGCCCAAAGCAAGCTCTCCACAACAGACAGTTGATTCTACACTTTCTGCCATTTTTTTCCTGGCCGACTGGCTCTTTTTCTTACCCTTGCTTTTACCCAGGCCTCGAGGTTACCTCAACTGCCTCCAACTTCCCAGCCTGGCTTTCTCCAAATTCTCACAGTCTTGCTACTCATTTTAGCAATGATCATATGCAGGTTACCCAGCAGGATTTCCATAGATTTTCTACTTTTTACATTTTATTTCCTGCAATGTCAACTTTCATACAGTGTATCCTGACTGTCTTTAAAAGTCTTTCATATACTGAAGTCAGATTGTTGTAAACAAGCTAATAAACACAGTTTTCAACTATGGTATGCAATGGGTATGGCTGCTTGCCAGCAGAACAATTTTACCAGAGTCATTATCTCTAGCTATATAGTGGAGATATAATCATTATACATGCATTTAACTTAAGCATATTCAACTATATGTTCTTGGCAGAGCAAAAGAGAAAGCAATTCAAATAGAGAAGGCCATTATGCCTGTCATTCCAATCAGTGCACATACTCCCATGAAATAGGAGATGAACCTGCTGTCCCCTCAGCTGGTTTCAGTCTCTACCTACTTCTCCCAGTGTGATTAATTCTCTGGGAAGACTATGATGTTAGTGTTTAAAAGTATATATCTATATATTTTAGAATACCACTATCTTCAGTTTCAGTCAACTACTTTTCCTAGTCCTCAATTTTAAAAAACAGTATTTGTCTGGGCATGACGGCTCCCATCTCTAATCGCAGCACTTTGGGAGGCTGAAACCTGAGGATCACTTGAGCCCAGTAGTTCGAGGCCAGCCTGGGCAACATAGCGAGACTTGCTCCTATAAAATAAATACATAAAAATAAATAAATTTTAAAAAGGCTGAGCCAGTCAGCCAGGAAAAAAATGGGAGAAAGTGTAAAATCAACTGCCTGATGTGGAGAGTTTGCTTTGGGCAGCCCTGAGAGAAGGTCTAGAGGTTTCCTGGAAAGGTTCAGCTTCAGGTTTATTTTTACATACTTTTCAAATTAGGAAATTTTTCCTGAGTAGGTATGAGTTGTCATCTATTCCAAGACTGGAGGAAAACTTGGGTTTGTTGGGCTGCTCAAGAGACAGTAAGAAATCCTTGTCGCTGGCAATTCTGACAATATGTGATTTGCACCCCCACATTTTTGAGTGCTAACCCCTAAGATATGACTACATTGAGAACAGCATATGTTTGTATAATCGCCTGACTTTAGATTGCATTCTACATTTATGATAAAATGTACATTAGTAGAAATTGGAAAATAAATATGATTATACAAGTGATAAATACATATATCTGCAGCAAATGAGGCAAAGATGGAAATCACTAGGTCTCTTGAAGTCACATATGAAGAAAAAGAATAAAATTATGCAACAAGAATCAAATGCTAGACCTGGGTCCAAAATACATAAAATTACTGGGAAATTTATTATCATCTGTAACTTTCTGGAAAAGAGTCTTCACAATTACATGCGCATACATTAATATGTACATAAAATTATTATAGAAACATATTTTCAGGAAAGGGTTATGTTCAAACATAGGACATTTTCATTCTGAGCCACCCCTGCTGCCCTCTGGGAAGATGTACTCATACTTGACACTCGGCTTCTTCAGAATTTTGTTCATGCCATCAGTTTAAAATTTAGAGCTCTACAGTAAACTTGATTGCTGACATCTATTGATTTTTAGATTGCAAACTCCTTGCAGACAGGTTCTAGGCCTTCCTAATCTGTGCACCTCAGAGAGGGCTTGACTAAAAAGGGGCACTCCACAAACGCTGGGGAGTGACAGTATAACTGAATTACCAAATTTACCTCTCTGAGATTCATTTCTTCTAATGAATGAGGAAAGGCAGACACTGCCCAATATCCATCAGGTCATTGTCTCCAGCATGGAGCTCCACTATGCACATTGCTCTGTCCTTACCTATCCAGGGAAATGCAGCAGAGGTGAAAAATTGATGCTGTTGTGAGCAGAACGTCCAGAGATGTCCGAACAAGACAAAACATCTCCCCATAAATCCAGATGTCTTGAACCAGCTCAATGGCACCAAAGGGCATCACCAGCACCGAAACCAGCAGATCCGCAAAAGCAAGAGATACAATGAAATAATTGGTTTTTATTTTCCTGTGAGTGAAAAAGTGTAAGAGAGGAGGCAGGGGGAGGGATAAGGGAAAAAGGGGAGGGAGAAAAGACCAAGAGAGAAAACAGGATAAAGGGAAGCAAAGGAAGAAGAAAAAAAGGGAGGGGGAAAGGGGAAAGAAAAAGTCACATGCTTAGCGTATTCTGTGAGATTCAATTTCCATTTCTGTAACATGGCTGAGAAGACCCAGCATGGTCCAGCCCCTTCTGACTTCTCCAGACCTATCTTGTACCAAAAGCTCTTTTTTCCTCTCCTTTCTGGCCACCCTGCCCTAATCTGAGTTCCCCTGCACATACAGCTCCCTTTTGAGGGCCAATACAGATGCTGTTTCTTCCAACAGTTGCCTAGTTCCATCCCCCCCCCCCATCAGTCTGTGGTCGGGAATTCTCAGGAAACCCTCCCAAGGTATGCCCTGTGACTGTAGTCACAGTCCACCATTTCACACTAGTAGACTGGCTACTGTGCACCTCACATTTATAACACTGGTGAAAATTGCACTTTTACACTTTATTTGCATCATCATCAGATGTGCGGATGTCTTACTTAGAGAGAAACTCCTTCATTATACCTTTTTATGACCCAGAGGCTTTCATCCCAGGCTATACACTAGAATGACCTGATGCATTTTAATAAATATGGATGCTGAGATCTCAACCCAGATCATTTAGTTCAGGCACCCTGGGAGTTAACACCTCTCCCCTCAAAGATGGCCAGATAAAATACAGGATGCCTGATTAGATTTGAATTTTAACAATGAATCACTTTTTAAAGATAACTACATCCAAAATACTATGTGAGACACACTAGTACCACAGGATGATAGCTTTTAAAAATGCATCAGGTGCTTCTAATTGTAGCCAGGGTTGAGACTGACGAAGTAAAAGTGCAAAAAACACACATTTAATTTCTAGATCTGTCCCTTGTCAGCCACGTCTTCCTTAAACCATTGATAAAACGGGGAGGTTAGATTATATGTGCTCTCAACAATTGTGCATATAATGATCACAACTATAAACACATTTGACAAAGCAAAAAATGACAGGATGGGAATACACTGAAGTGTTTACACTGGTTGTATTAGAGTTGCAGGATTAATTGCAATCCCTTTTTCTCTTCTTTGATTTTAAAAATATAGTTCCCATAAATGTTTTCTTCCTTAATTACAGATTATAGTGGAAATGTTAACGTTTCCAACTCTCCAGGGAGAGCTCAGAACTCCACCTATGTTTCCTCCAAAGGTTTCCTCCTGCTGCTCACCTGAGCTGCCGGTCCCAGCACACAGCCACCATCACCAGCAAGTTCCCCAAGATGGCCATCAGGATAACCGCCGAGAGAAACGTGAGCAGCACGACCTTCTCCACTGACCCGAAACCCTCCTTGGAACTGAAAGACACACATGAGCACAAAGAATTGAATGAAACTCTGGGACACAGGAAAGAAAATTCATCTTTTCATCATTGACCTTCAGAAAGGTAACTTCACCATCAGCTGATAACACATCATGCATTTAGTATACACCAAAATCTGATCTTGCCACTTGACATGTTAACCTGGTTAGCTCCTTACATAAGAGTATAAGGCTTAGACAGGTGAATTAATAAGCCTGAGATTGCAGTTATTTTCCATCCAAGAACTTGTTGCTTTCCTTCAGGGCACTTAGATCAACTCACATTCAGACATATATGGTTGATTCCTGTTTTGTGCACCTACTCAACTAGATTGCAAAAGTTGAGTGCATGAATGATAGTAACTTTGTAACTGCAGGAGCAGCCCAACTGGTTCAACTTTGTGTATAAAATGGAGAGCTGTGTTTTAGTTGCCATGGAATCCCAGGTTGCAAGTTGAACTGACCAAGCCCAGATGAACCAAGCATGGAACCCGAGGGTGGAACCTAAGTGCTTGGACCAAGGCATGGGGACTAAATGAAGTGGACATCTCATGGCATGATCCATGATTTAATCATATAGAGCCCTAGCATCACCTTATGGCACAACCCAGTAAGATCATACCTCCTGGCATTACCTTGTCACAAATATCCAATCAGATCATGCCTTATTACCCTTTCCCTATAAAACCTGCCACAGCTCCCAGCTCAGGGAGACAGATTTGAGCTCTGCCTCTTTCTTCCTTGCCAGTCAACTTATAATAAAGCCTTTCTTTTCCCAAAATCCAGGGCTATAAGTATTGGCTTCTGTGAATATCAGCAAGGATCCCACTGCTTGCTCAGTAACAACTTGAACCAGTTGTTACTGGGCAAATTACTTTGCATTCAAGTAGTTACTTTGCCTGAATGCAAAGCCATTTCTTGTTACAGTGTCTCATTCAAGCCCATGCAGAAGCTTCTGGTTACAGGTAGGCTCTCCCAGAGAAAAAAGATTGTGGGAGAGGTCTGATGGTTGTTTTTACACCAGTTCACCTGGACAAATTGAATTCAGATTCTGTGAAGATCGTTGGAAAGACAGCAACCAATAAATAAGCTCAGTGGCTCCTTTTACCACCCTGATCATTTCTTTTAGTGCTCACAATATGTCATTGTTTTCGCAGTTCAAATTTGTGTTCTCGTCAATTTCAGCATTTAAGTCTACAAATGTTGCCTTCCCCATGTAAACTCAGCATTTTGTTTTATTAACCTGAAAATGAAGGTCCCTTTTCAATGAAAGCATGATATCTGCAGATTAATATTCAGAAGTTATAGGTATTTTAATAACTTTTATAGTATAATAAAATGTTATTTTTAATGAAGTTTCAAAGAATCTTAAAACTCCTAGACCAGGGGTGTTCAATCTTTTGGCTTCTCTGGTCCACATTGGAAGAAGAAGAATTGTCATGGGCCACAGATAAAATACACTAATGATAGCTGATGAGCTAAAAAATTTTTTTGCAAAAAGGAACTCATAATGTTTTGAGAAAGTTTATGGATTGTGTTGAGCTGCATTAAAAGCTGTCCTGGGCTGCTGCATGTGCCCCTACAGGCCATGGATTGAACAAGTTTATCCTAGACCCAAACTCTACATTTGAATACGGGAAAAACTGGGCCCAGACAGAAGAGCTGACTTGTTACAGCATGTCAGTGGCTGGTCTGGGAGAGCTGCTTGTCCTGTGAGCCCACCACTGAGAACACAGGGTTCCAAAAATTAAGAATTCCCTGTCTTTCCTGAGCTCTTTTGACTGAAAATTAAGATGCATGCTCTCTCCGAATGGCAGCAGCCTGCAAAGTCCTGGCTTTGGTGTTGTCCAGAACTTCTGTTAAGATGGCACAGAAGACAAGGTGCCAAAGGAATTGAGGAACCAGTCTGGCAGTGGTTGGAGAATGAGAAAGTCCCTCCATTCTGCTGAGAAGTGTTTTCATAGACAGATTGATTGTTTGTGATTGGGGTTTAGTTGAAAAGAAATTCCAGATATGCTTATCTCGATCACTCTTCCACACTTAAGTTCTAACCATCAACAGCACAAACATTAGATAGGGAAGATTTAATTCAATGAGGAAAATTGTACACTTAGGAAAAAGACCTTACTAAGCTGATGTGGCCACGAAAAACTCATTTGATCTTAGGTCATGTTCATTGAGTTAAAGCACTAGCAAAGGAGGTGATGGTGGTTCTCTTCCCTGTTCTTCTCAGAGACTGACTCACAGCCCCTCTGAAACTCATCTCCTTCACCCCCAGCGCCTCTATATTTGAGGTGCCTTCTTCCTGGAATGTTTCTTCAGTGACTGACTTCTTGTCATTCAGGTCTCAGATTAAATTTAATCCCCACTTAATGTACCACAGCCAACAAACATTTTTCATTTTCTTTATAGCATTTACTGTTATCTGAAATGATTTGTTACTGATTGCTGTCTGTCCCCCAATTCCACAGATTGACTTTGGTTATATTTTTCACTATAATCTCCAGTGTCTGGCACAGTGTCTAGTCTAGAGTATGTATTATTATGTATTAATTTTACATATGTAGACTATGCATTACATAATAAGTGCTCAATTACTTGCTGATTGAGTGAAAGAGAGCTATATTGTGCTCATAATGGTAACATTTATTATTCAATGTCTTCAAAGGCTGGTTGAAAGTATAGAGATTTTACCTAGAGAAAAGAAGGTCCATGGATGAAATAAAAAAGCTATTTTTAACTACCTGAGGGCTGCCATTTTAAATAAGAGTAGATTTACATATTCATTCATTCAATTATTTCTGAGCACCTACTCTGTGTTAGGCATTGTTGTATGTCCTAGAGAGACAGCAATAGTCAAACAGAGAGAAAACAGACAATAAACAGATGCACAAGACAGTATGTAAAGTGTCAGCTGATGATATACTCCACGGCAAAAAAAAAAAAAAAAAATCTAGGAGGGTAAGGAGGACTGGATGGCCAGTGGGGGATTGCAGGCTGGCTGTTTAATAAAGGATGTGAGAGAAAGCTCAATGATAAGGTTATCACAGGTTGTGAGACTAACTAGGACCAGTGGGTGGGTTTTAAGCAGTGGTTCACAGCCTTAGCTGCATATTTAAGTTACCTGTGGAGCCTTAAAAAATGCTGATTCTGGGAATCCACCCTCAAAGGTGCTGATTTAATTGGTCTGGATTGCAGCTCGGATGGAGAAATTTTTAAAAGCTCCCAGGTGACTCTGATGTGCAGTGAAGGATGAGAGTCACTGACAGAGGGAGGCAAGATTTAGTACTAGATAATAAGATCCTTCTAACAACTAAAGATGATCTGCAATAGCTTCCTGGTGTTGTTTTGTGCTCCCTGGCACAGAAAGTGTTTAAGTGCCATCATACCTGAATGGCAATGAGATAGTAATTTGCACTCATTAGGATGGCAGTTATAAAAAACAAAACAACAAACAAAAAATAAAAAGGGTCAGTGTGAATGTGGGGAAATTGAAACACTTGTGGATTGCCGGTGGGAATGTAAAATGATACCGCCATCGTGGAAAAACAAGTTTGATGGTTTCTCTAAAGGTTAAATATAGAACGCCTATGTGATCCCACAATTCAATCCCAGGCGTACACCCAAAAGAACTGAAAGCAGGGATACAAACAGACACTTGTATACCAATGTCTATAGCAGCATTATTCACAATAGCCCAAAGGTGAACACAGCTCAAGTTTCCACTAACAGGTAAGCAAATAAATAGAATGTGGTATACACATACTAGAAAATGTTATTTCTCTATAAAAAGAAATGAAGTTTTCATACATGCTACCACATGGATGAACCTTAAAAATAAATGAAACAAATAAATAAGTGAAATAAACCACACACAAAAGGAAAAATATTGTGATTCCACTTACACGAGGATTCTAGATTGGCAAATTCATGGGGAAAGAAAATAGAAAAGTCATTATCAAGGAGGGACGGGAACTCAGGGGAATGGGGAGGTATTATTTAAGAAGTATAGAGTGTTTGAAATGATTTAAAAAATTCTGGAAGTGGAGAGTAGTAATCGTTGCACACCACTGTGAATGTTCTTTTTTAGCTTTTATTTTAGGTTCAGGGGTACACGTGCAAGTTTGTTATACAGGGGGTGTGGTGTACAGATTATTTCATCACCCATGTAACAGGCATAGTTTGATAGGTAGCGATCCTCCCTCTCCTCCCACCTTCCACCCTCAAGTAGGTTCCAGTGTCTGTTGTTCCCTTCTTTGTGTCCATCATGTACTCAGTGTTCAGCTCCCACTTGTAAGTGATATCATGCTATATTTGATTTTCTGTTCCTCTGTTAATTTTCTTAGGATAATGGCCTCCAGCTCCATCGATGTTGCTGCAAAGTACATGATCTCATTCTCTTTGGGGACTTAATATCACTAAATTATATGCTTAAAATGCATGTTTTATATATTAATAAATTTTGTTACTTATATTTTAGCATGATATAAAAAAAGAATTCCTGGATGACCACATATCAAGATACTGTACAAGGCTCCTGTATTGGAGGCAGGCTGGCCTGGCTGTTTTAGGTCGCTTTTTTGTTTATAGTCCATGATTTAAACATATCCTTAGAATATGAATTATCCATCAACCCCACCGCGACCATTAGAATCGTCTCTCTTGTACTGTCTTTTCTTTTTTATTGCATTTTAGGTTTTGGGTTACATGTGAAGAACATGCAAGATTATTGCATAGGTACACACGTGGCAGTGTGATTTGCTGCCTTCCACCCCTTCACCTATATCTGGCATTTCTCCCCATGCCATCCCCCCCACAACTCCCCACCTACCGCTGTCCCTCCCCTATTTCCCTCCAAGAGACCCTAGTGTGTAGTGCTCCCCGCCCTGTGTCCATATGTTCTCATTGTTCAACACCTGCCAATGAGTAAGAACATGCGGTGTTTGATTTTCTGCTCCTGTGTCAGTTTGCTGAGAATGATGGCCTCCATGGTCTC